CCCGCACCCGCTCGGGTCCAGGCTCGTGAACCCCGTCAGCGCCCCAACCGACTCCGGTAGGCTCTGGAGACCCTTACAACCAGACAAGTCCAGTCTGGTAAGCCCCGTCAACTGCGCGATCGACTCCGGCAGGCTCTGAAACCCCACGCAACCTGACAAGTCCAGTCTGGTGAGCCCTGTCAATTGCCCAAACGACTCGGGCAGGATCGTTAGCGAATTGCACCCGCTCAGCCACACTCATTCGAGCCTTGTCAGCGCCCCGACCGATTCCGGTAGGCTCTGGAGACCCTTGCAACCAGAAAAGTCCAGTCTGGTGAAGCCCGTCGATTGCCCGACCATGGCAGGCTTTGACGCCCCTCGAAAGCAGACACGTCTAGTCTGGTGAGGCTCTTCAACTGCCCGACCGTCTCCGGCAGGCTCTGAAGCCCCTCCCAACCAGACAAGTCCAGTCTGGTGAGCCCCGTTAACTGCCAGTCCGACTCCGGCAGGCTCTGGAACCCCTTGCAATTGATCAAGAACAGATTCAAGACCTATGTACGTCCCACAACAATCGATCTCGTTTGGAAAGATCCGACACCTACCACCGGCGCACGAAATAGGGAACCCTCCCACTGCGCTAGGCTTTTGCGCGTGCTGTCACCAGGTTGCGCAGTTTGCAGCGGGCCCTGAAGCAGGCCTGCCGGAATTTACGTGTCTCCTGCGTCAGCTTCGCCAACGGTACCGCCTCGATGCTCTTCCGCTCCGCCTCCAGCCGCTGAATAGCGTTGCCAATCTGCAGCGGAACGGAAGAGCATCCATTCAGACGGAGCTTTGCTTGATCGAGCACGCGAATGGAATCTGTGAATCAACTATCAACTCCGAGGAGCTTGTCAGACCTTACTCAGGAGAGTGACCCAATGTGCGCTTTCATCCGGTTTCCAAGCAACGCGAGCGAAGGTGGATCAGTAAGAAATGCGCTCGCGTCATTGCAGGCAAACAGGAACGAGCAGCGCAATCGCTGACATAAAGGTGACTGCCCCTGCACCACGGGCTGTCAAAAAGTAGATGTCTCAAAGGACACATTTGACGACAGGCAAAACGGCGCAGAATCAGCACGCGGCACACTTGCGAAAGACACCGAAATACCAGGAACCCATCAGGAGCGACAAGGACACACCTCAAAAGAGGCAAATTCAAGGAGACTCCAGTGCCAAATCGAATACAAGAAGAGAACATAACAAGGAATTCAGGGTTCTGTCGTGCCTGCTGCTCCGGGCCGCCGTTGTCTTCGGCCCCCTTTTGTTGCACGGTCTAGATGAGCGCGTTCATGCTCTTGAGCTTGCGGTGCGGCCACCGGTGGATGCCCAAGTCGCGCCGCTTCTTCAGCACCTGGCAGCTGGCAGCGACTCTGGCAGCTCCCTCAAATTGGTGCACCTTGAGAGGTCGAGCTCGATCAAGCCCGTCAGCTGCCACAACGACCCCGGTAGCACTTCCAAGGACTCGCAACTCGTCCTCCCAAGCGAAATCAAGCCCGTCAGCTGCCAGAAGTGCGTCTTTTGGGGGCCCAGTAGACCTGCACTTCGCACCAGAGTGTGCTTGAATGGATTTGTTCCAATTGCAGCAAAATTGCACGTGGCTCCCAAAATGAAGTTCTTTGCAATCCACAATCCTATGCACATAAATGAAACAAGGCAATCTACATGAAAGTAGATGCGTATACGTATACACGAAACAAGCGCAAATGGCCTCGCGCTCCTCAGATACATTGGCGGATTCTGTATGGACGAAAGCAGCATGCACTTACCAGGATGCGCCAGGCTGTCATGCTGGTAAGCTTTTGAGATACTCAAATCGCCAAACCGCAGTATACCTCCCGCTTGGGACCTGCATCACATGGATCAAAGAAGCTCAGATGGCCTGCAACAATACGGATCTGACGAGGATCTGCTCAATGACTACGACGATGGACATCTCCAAGAAATACGATGAATAATGCATCAGCTCACCATGGAAGTCCCGCCCCCGAGCCGACACTGGTAGCGAGTACGAGTGCGAGTCCGAGTCCGAGTGCACCAGCTCGTATGAACGGGGGTTCGAAGGGGGAGGAGCGCATGAGAGGCTCCAATCTTTGGAGCGGAAGTTTGGAGCTCTCGGCTTGAATGGGTTTTTAAAGGAGGGAGGATTCGAGAGCACCGGCTGGATTGGGCTTCGGGGAGGGGACTCCGAGTTCCGAGGAGGAGGGCGCCTTTCTTGGGAATAGGGGTCCGGATCTCGGGAAGCTGGGGAGGAGGATCCCTCAAGGGAAAACCAGTAGCTCAATTCGAGGAGCCGTTCTTGGGGTTGGGGTTCCGGAGCTTCGAAAGAAAGGAGGATTTCTGAGGAGGACGCCAGGGTATACAGTCGCGTTGGAGCCGATTTGGGTCATCTTCCCCAAGGCCGTCGAATTAGCTCAGACCTGTGGTGAATCCATCAAAGCCGCTGCTCTCAAAGTTGTTTCCTGACATGGATGCAGGGCCTATCAAACCCTGAATATCACCAATTGGATCAGGTTCTCGAGGGTTGCCTGATGGCGGCCATGACGTTGCCCTAAGGCCGTTGAAGAGGCTCTGATCTGTGGTGAATCCATCAAAGCTGTTGCTAGATGCAGGATGTGTCAAAACATGAGGACAAGACATGGGATCAGATGCAGCCTTCGAAACCAGAATGATTACAGTGGGACCAGGTTCTGCAGGCCGTTGACTGGTGGCGGCTATGACGTTTCAGGCACCTGCACAAACTCAGGCTGAGGTACTTGTCAGGAGCCAGAGCTAGCCACAATACAGGTGTCAATGCATGACAAATGCATTCAAAAGCGTTTGACGAGTCGTAGCAAGCTTGTGAATCAAGCAACATGACAGTCACTAAGTGGGGAGCTGTACCGGGTCTGCGGGGATTGCGCTGCTCTGAGCCAAGGCACTCGCTTTTTTGAGCTACTAAAATATTGCAGCCATCACTGCCTGTGCCTTGATCCTTCTGCTCATGGATTGTGGATTATGGAACACATAGAACCTATACGGCGGCGCAAACACTTCACAGACAGCGCATGCTGATCAAGGCAATCAAGATGAGCGGCATGGTGTGGTGAGCGATGGACATACAAAGACTGTGATTGCACAAAATACATGTAAAAGCTCCCTATTCAAGTCAACATGGTCCATCTTTTGCTTCTCCTCTCGTTTCATTGTAGCTACCACGACCTGAAAGTTGAAAGTACCTGAACTTGAGACAAATTCTGAGTAGCCTTCGTTTTACTCCTGGAACTTAACTGGTATGCAACAAGGTCTATTTAGTAAGCTCCAAATGTAGATCTGTACAAGGATCCAATCAAGCTGACAAAGTATGTAGTATGAACCTGCTTCCGAGTACCCAAATATTAGCCAAAAATCAATCGCACCAGTCTGTTTAGCCGCATATTAAAATTCGTTTAGCCACTACTTTGCCAAACATCGTTTGTTGAGTTTATGCCTACACTTGAACAATCCTTCTGCTCAGGAGTTAGCCAGATGTACCATTAAGTTGTATGATTCGATCACTTTTCTTCAAACCTTTTTTGGGAACAACATTAGAGTTTCCATCTACTGTAATTCATGGGTAATGGAGCATTGATAACCTTGTAAGCCCTGATTCCGTCAGTCGTTTGATGAGTGCTTGCTCTATTTAAACAAGAAGGCAGATTCTGCTACTCTCCCAACTTCAGCTCAACCATGTTCCATCTGCTTCCCGCATACTCTAGCCCAGTCTTGAGCGACATCTGTATCCCATTCTAATCCCTGCACTCAACACATATTTTTGTTTCACATGTAGGATTGACAAGCTGAAAGCACCGAGAGTGACCAAGGGCTCTACATTTCCCAGCACACTCAGCGAGAAGGTCGCACTTGTCTAGGACTTTGCCAAATTTTTCATAAAATCTTGATGAGAACGAGCTCAGTAGCGAGCTCAGTTGCTCAGACTCGGTGGCCCCAACTTTCTCTGTAGACAATGATTTAGCAGGGGCTGCATGGAAAGAAATGGTCAAAATGAGTGCGCATTTTGGCGTTATTGGCCAACATATCCCCTCACTGTGACCAGACCACAAAGGCCGAGCATGCAGGCATAGGCAATCCAACAGTCAAACACCACAAGATCAATCATCCACATTTAGAAAACGTCCACTTTTAAATCACTGGGTGGGTGCTCACCTGTTCTCAATCATTTTCACCTGAAGGTATCTTCCTACCAACCACGTTTTCCAAAGACCCATCTGAGACCGATGCTTCTGTAAGGACCATCAAGCATATTGGGCACTTGACAAAGCTGTTGCAATCTTGGCAGAGAAGGTGGGCGCCTGTCTTTCCAACTATTCTATTAGAAAGAAGCGACATTTGACCGCCCCAAGCTTCTGCACAGAGCACACACACTCCAGCTGCCATGCTCTGTCGCTGTACTGCTTCCTCAGAGGGTTCAACACATCCTACAATGCAGACGCCAAAGCATTTGTACCAGAAAGAGCCGCCTTCAGTTGCCGCTCTGGAAGGTCCACTCATTCAATGACAGTGTTTAGAAGAATGTTGCAGAAGGGAAACCTGAGGTAGCAGTATATCACGGGACCAAGCCACCTCAGGTGCCACGGCACCTTTGCGTATATGATGTTCCAGAAACTTGATTAGATCCGCTTAAACCACAGGAGCTATTTGTTGTCAAGATATTCAGGACAGTTGGGCTTGATGAATGGGCAGGTTGTGGTTTTGTAGTAGGAATTTGCTTGGAAAACTATTTGCACTCAGCAACGTTACTGAGAGCAGCAACAATCGTGGCGATTGACAACCGTTGCTCATGCGCACCTGACTACCTCCGGTGCATCAACATTCAACGACTCTTATAAGGTTGTTGAGACAGGCACATTTTCAAGCAGTCACTGGCTTGCCTGCTTGACTCCAGTTTTGTGCCCCAATACTGGAAAACTGTAGTGGATTTGTTCTCTTGATTTAATCTAATCTGGGCAAAACAAGTGTGTGCCTGATGAAACAATGCTTTACAGAATCCAGCGATAGCCTATGGTTGCATTGACCCAAGCATTCAAACAAGACTGAACTTTCACATTGCACTGATCTATGGTCTTGTAACCACATTATACAGAAGGTATGTATGTGCAAATATCCAAACAGTGCTGAAAAGTGCATCCGCCTTCTGATTCCACAGGGTGTACCGACTCTGAGGCTAACGATTGCACAGTTATCGTATCATTTTTCATACTCGGGTTTTGGTCTCCCTCGAGCAGATTTTTACCATTTGTATCAGGAGACCTTGTTCATCTGTATCCTATCAATCCACCATGTGCTTCCGACCCTGCAGCCTTTTCCCTATGTACACAACTGCGTTGCCTCCTGTGTATGTCAATCAGGTTTCATAAAGTATTGCTTGTAAGTCGAGGCGCGGCACTTTCTGACCCCAAGCGTGTCAAGCGTAGAATTTGCAGTCACATTGCAACCATTACATTGCTCGAAGTAGATCACCCATGCCGGTTTTGCTACGGAAGGGGATGAACTTGTCTCTCAGCTCTTTGAGGTCGTTGTAGGCCTTCCACACCTTCAGGCTTGCCCACTAGTCATCTCGGTCGGTGAAGTACTTCAGGAACATTTACTCTGCGTGCATCCTGGGCCTAACACCGTGCCCATCGAACATGTCAGGAATGCCACGCAGATCCTTGTACTCCCTCGTGCTCGTCTGGAAGTCGAGCAGGGCTTGGTTGATGAGACTGTTGACCTTTACGTGTGCTCAGGTCTTCGCCAGGGTATGCTGCACTCCGAACACCTATGTAGTCCTGAAATGCGTCGGTTTTGCCTTGGTACATCTTGATCCCGTCCTGTCTTGAGCTGTGCCAGTTTGTGGCGGTCGGGGCGTTGGGTGTTGGCGGAGACTGCTGTTGCACCTCTTGGACAGCGGCCAAGGGTTCTCCGGTGGTCAGGCCTCCGGAAAATAGCGGAATACCAGCTCCGGAACGTCCACCGCAAACTCGGCCGAGCACCACTGGGCGAGGTAGATTGCCTTCGGATGAACGAACGTTGCTTGTCCCCTTGATTCTACTTGAACCAGCTGGTGTGGGAGTGTACCAGCGCAGAAAACCACTCCACCAACACGTGAACGCGTCTTTGCGTATGTGGTCTGACCACACTCGAAGACTGCTGATGGTCCGATCACCCCCGATCTTGCGTCATGCAAACACGTTGACGTAGGCACTCGGTGTTATCCGTCGCGCGAATGCCGCCCATGACCACGACCTGCAGTAGACGCACGTCGCCCTCTCCGCCATCTCGAGCCACCTCCTCATGCACGCCACGTGCACGACCTTCCTGCACGTGGGACAGCCCGCCAGCTCCGACGTCTCTTCGAGAGCTTCGAAACATATCGGGCAGTCGTCGTCCGAAGCCGACCCCGCCCGGAACATCTCGGCCGCTCTCGCTAACGTGATCTCGGCTGCTCGCAATCGCATCATGTACGCCATCCGCACGGGGTCGACCGGCCCCCTGGAGACGTCATCCAGCCGAGCCTCCAGGACGCCTTCCTCTTCGCGCGTCAGACGGCGAGTCGAGAAGTACCCCGTGTCCGCCAGGCGGCCGACCTTGAGCAGCAGGAACGCCAAGTGCTTGCAGCAGGTACGACGCCTCATCTTCGCCGAGTCCGGGCAGTCGCAGGTCAACACGCCGTCTCGCAGGCCGACCGCATACACGTTCCCCGTCGAGCCGGCGACCTTCAGTTCGCACTCATACGATCCACCGGAGCGGCGGCCCTCCACCGCCAGGACCTAGAACCGCTCCACGTAGCTCCGCGCGATGTGACGTCTCTGGTCTTCCGAGAGAGGCGTCACGGTCGACATATCGCGCGGTACGAGGCCCCGCCCGGAGCCTTACAGTCTGTCCAGAATGAAATGGCACAAGCGACCTTTCTTAAAGTCGACCCCGAGGAACCATCCGATGTATGGTTCCAAACAAGGGGTATAAAAGCGGGGTACTCCCACCATTTCTGTCATTCCCACAGAACGCAAGCCCCGCAGCACCGCAGGGATGGACGAGGACGCCGACCACGAGGACCGCACGCCCCCGAAGCACCCCGCGAAGCGCCCCGACGTCGCGGAGCGCATCCGACTCCGGAAGGACAAGGAGACGTCGGTGGTGCAGATGGGATGGAGGGCGCTCTGTCGGGACATGCGTATCACGGACCGCATCGAGCAGATCATCCCCGAGGTCACCCGCATCCGGGTCGAGACGTGCCTGCTGCTGAACCTGCACTTCATCCGTCTGTTGGAAGAGGGCAAGGCCATTCCCCCCATCGACCAGAACCTCGTGGGACGGGCGATGCAGTGCACGTACTCCAAGCGCCCTCCTGCGGACCCGGACCTGCACGAGACCTTCAGGGCTCACTACTTGCCCCTGTGCGTCAACCGCCCCGCCAGCTCCTGCCTCCCCCGCATCTCTGACATCCTCCTGGACCAGCGCAACCAGCTGCTGAGCAACGTCAAGAACCACGTGGCCGTCCGCTTCGAGGCCCGACACCGCGCGTTCGTGCGCCTCCTGATCGAGGAGGCGGCGCAGGAGGTTCCCTTCCTCGCTGCGGCAAAGGAGGACCTGGACTCATGCACCCGGATCCTGACGACGGCCACGCTGTGGCGCCCGAACGAGTCCATCGAGCAGCTCCTCCCCGAGTACCCTCGCCTGTACGGCGTCATCCCACCCGAGGCGGCCAGGCGGCTGCAGGCCCTGGCGGACGCCATCCGCCCCCACGTCGGCCCGCTCCCCGCCGCACCGGCGGCCAAGCCGCACCTCTACCTGCCATGGCTGTCTCGTATCGCCAGGGAGTTCTCGGACCGCGGGCGCCGCTCCTTCGCGCTCGTGCCCCAAGCCGCTTTCTCGGCCCCCTTCCTGGCGATCACCCCGACCACGTGGCCGGAGCTGCTCCCGAAGGCCGGCAAGCGGAAGGCCCCGGAGGCTTTGCTGGACGCATTCCCCGCTATCGGGCGCTTGACGTCGCTGGGCAAGTCCTTCGCGAACCGCATCACCACGGATGGGGTGTCTGCGAGCGAATACTTCCTGGTAGAGAAGAAAAGGGCTCCGAAGGAGGAGCGGGAGGTCCGGATCCACCCGAATCAGCGGGTGGTGGGACTGGATCCCGGGAAGAGCCCGGACTTCCTGACGGGAGCGACCGTTCGAGGAGACTGGAACGGCACCGACCGACAGAGCGGTGAGCTCCATCTCGGGACCAGGGAGTTCTACCACCGGGCTGGGTTCAAGAAGCGCACGTTCCTGATGAGCCGGTGGATGGCCAGGGACGCGGATGTGGCTTGGTTCAACGAGAGAGCCCCATCCGGAGACGGACTGGGCCTGGAGGAGTTCGGCGGGCGAGTGACGGCGGTAACCGGTAGCATGTACGCGCTCATCCGCTTCCATACCGCACGGAGGGTCCGGAAGCTGAGGAGACGAGTGACGGTCCAGAAGCAGCGGGAGGTGGACCGGGTGTGTGCGGAGATAACGGGAGGGAAGAGGGCCGTGGTGGCTTTCGGTGCGGCTACGGTGGGGAAAGGAGGGGCCAAGGGCCAATGCGGCCCGTGCGAGGCGGTGAGACGGCGGCTGAGTAGCCATCATGGGGCGACGGTGGTGATGGTGGAGGAATTCAGGACGAGCCGGAGGTGCAGCACTTGCCTCTCCGGCGTGGGGGGATTCATGGTATCGAGGAGGCGCAGGATCATCGAGGATGGCGTACCCACAGTGAGCAGAGGAGGGGAGGGGAGCTACGAGACGTGCCACAACGTGCGAGCGTGTACGAACCCGCTGTGTCGCATAGTGTGGAACAGAGACGTCAATGCAGCCCGTAACATAGCGTGGATATGCGTGTCGATGGCGAGAGGCGAGAGCAGGCCGGCAGAGTTCACCAGGGCAGGCGTGTGGGGAGGTTAGCAAAGGATAGTACATACGCGAATATGTGCCTAGAACTTCGTTCATCTAGGTACTTCGGTGAGAACCCGAGATTTGGCTGAGTACTGTGGCGAGGTGTGCCATTTTACTCTGGACAGACTGTACTCCCACGACGTGCAAAATAATGAGCGCGTTCAGACCCCAAAAGCTTCCGTCAGGGCTTGTTCGGAGAGCTTCGGGGGGACAGCGTCGAATTCCCTAGTCGCAGACCCACAAGACGCAATAAAAAATGCGTCTTGTAGGTGCTACTCGAAGGATCTCACCCTAGCGGATTCCCTAGTCAGAAACGCCACGAGACACAAGACAGTAAGACGCATTTTTTGGGAAAGTCTCTGAGATTCTTGGGTCCCGTGGCGGATCTAGATCGTCCCTCGGATTCTGGGGACTTTCCAAAATGATGCGCCTTACTGTCTTACTGTCTTAACGGAGAGATCCACTAGGGAAACCAGACTCGAGGAA